TTTTTGTTTTCCTGTCCGCTGTGCTTGTTTGTTTCTATTATACAGCACTTTGGTTAGCCTTGTTGCTGTTTTAAGTGCTCTATAAATAAATTGGTATGGTATGGTATCTCTTGTTCTTAATGAATTCTTGACCAAACGGTCATATCAGCAGACAAACCAGGCCCACATATGCCACCAAACCACTGATTTTCAAAGCAAAACTAGTACCGGTATATAAACCACAAATATTTGGGTGGTAACTTTGTAACCAAAGAGCAGGCACTCAAAGCCCGGAGCTTAAAATCAATGCCATGCCGGCTCGGACGAACAAGGTCAGCATCAGATAATAGAGAACCAGAACATTCTGATGAGAAACGGGCTACTGGAACAAGACAATCATGAATGATGGCAGAACACAACACTGGTGGAAGCTTCTCAGGAGGATGGGGGAAGTTTGGAAACTTAAAAACCTACCATTCAAATTGACTAAGAAACAACTTTGAACCCAGTGTTCTTGCATGTGCAAGAAGACATATAGATGCTATCACACATAGAGATTGATGAGGTACAACCACAGATTGTATATATATTATAAACAAAATGTTCCTGCCGTCTTGCATTGTTGAACTAAACCCAGAATGATCCATTTTGTAGGCTCTGCTATGTTGTATATTTTGAACCAGTCTGCACACTAATGATGTGAGGCTTTAAATCCCGCCTACTCTCCAGCACAGAACTATGATGTTGAGAGACATTTCTTTTAAGCCTGAGATAATTAATTAAAGCTAAAAAGTATTGGAAACAATGAACACTTCAACATACAGTGGTAAAATAACTTTTTGAATCAATAATAGTCAGCACTTAAAAAACATTTATCTGAGGTGTATTTTTCTTTAAATTTACTGATATCCTGTTTTGTATATGTGAAGGAGGCAGAACCCAAAACCTGTAATTGAACCAAATTATAGTGAAGTTGGTTCTGTTCCAGCTTCAATTTCTGGGTCTAGATATAAACAGTCTATGGGTACAACAAAGGGACTGCGTATAGCAATGGGAAGCCAGGACAACAGGTCAGGAGGTATATATCATCATCCCAACCATCTGAGTGTTGGTATCAAGCCCCAATATGAAGTCCTGATGAACTGAAAACAAAGACAGCCAAACTGAGATTGATTCTTGGCATTTCCTGCCAAGGCTAAGGGATAAATTACCTTCTAGATTAAGATATGAATGAATTATATCTGATATACACAAAAATATCCAAGATGAAGGACTGCATCAGGGTCTAATATGACCCATACCTACTTGCTAAAAAAACTGACTGCTCACCATGAACACATATTGGGATGAATGAACATGATGCTAATGGAAAGGACTTGTCCAGAGTAGTGGATCCAATATCAGACAGTCCTGATCATGAAAGAACCCCAGGAACAAACAATCCTATCCAATACCAGCCAATCGCAGGCCAGTGGAACAACTGGCCAATGGATGTTCTTGTCAGGCAGGCATCATAACAGCTACGATTAGTCCCATGGCTCAATACATGGGCAAGAACTGGCACAAGCTCAAGAGGAGCCTTTGTTCAAACCTGTAGGACCAAGACTGATAGAAAAAAGATTATATGTGAGAGTGTCTTTCTACTGCATTAAACTTTGCATGTACCAAGTCAAAACATCGGATGTCAACACATTATAAGAGTGTCTGCCAACTGAAAATCCTTCTTTAGCTGGCTCAGCTTGGAATGTATATATAATAGTTTTATTGTGTCTATGTTAAAGAGATGTGGCTCGTGCTGAAGGGTGATGTGCACTACTGATGTAAAGGCCATATTTCTCTCCTCAAAAGAATTGTTTTTAATACATTTGATCAAAACTTCAATTGAGGACTGCTGAGTGATATTGCAGAGTATTCTTTCTAACAAAGACATACAAACCTGTGTACTATTTGTTGACTACAATAAAAGTCTAGGACTTGATGATTAGGCCTGTCACGATAACAAAATTTTGCTGGATGGACAATTAATTGTCTCAGAAATTATTGTGATAAATGATGTTATTGTTTGAAATTTAACAATATTTAATTGTCAAATTTTAGAAGAAATGTTGATTTGTTTGGTGTGTTGTACAATTTTTGACCACCTGATGGCAGTATAAGACAGTCTGAACCAAAGAATGGATAGTTGAGCAGCGTGTCTCTAAGAAAAATGGGAGGGAGGGCCCTTGACGTAACGTGGGCTGACATGGGCTGACATGGTGACATGGCAGACGCTCGGTGATTTGAACTCTTTAGCATAGCATTTTTTCACACAAAGCTTTAAATTAAAAAAACAAAATCAGTAAACAAGTTTTCAGCTTCTTTTTGCAGAGGAAAAACAACTTTTTACACGAAGGAACGGGTTTCAACCGTGAATTTTGGAGTTCGACAAGACGTAGGTTTATTCATGAGGTCGGCTTGTTAGCTTAGCTCGTAGCTTAGCTTCTCACCTTAGCTGCTTTAAGCCATCCAAAAACACAATTTTGGATGGTTAAAACAGATTTTAAAAATAAAAGAGAAAGGGAGGGGTCAGCGAAGAGCACCGGAGTTGAGCCGTGTCTTCAGTAGAACGAGAGACTCGAAGAAACGATAAAGCCAATAAATGAAAATGAGGTCGATAATTTTCATTCATCGTTCGATTAAGTGATTTATTGTATATTGCGACAGGTCTATTGATGGCACATACCTGGATCCTAGAGTGGGTGAAACTATAACCCCAACAGGAAACTAAAACCCTTCATCAAGACCTCAATGTTGTAGGGCATCTGGGGTCCTGTCATACATGTTGTGTTTTTCCTCATGTTTGCCTGTCACCCCTCAGCATTTCTCCTCCTGTGTTCCAGCACTGTCGCACCTGTGACTAATCCTAATCACCGCAGGTGTCACTCATTTCACCTTGTTAGTGTCTGTATATATTCAGCCCCTTGGTGTCTTGTCAGTGTCTCTGGATTGTCCTTGTCCTAAGGCTTCATGACCTGTTTCTATTCGTGTCCTCCTTTAAGTAAGTTAGCTGCCCCGTCAGCATTTTGTTTTGTTTATTTAATTAATAAACTGTTTTTACTTACAGTATCTACTGGAGCCTCATTCCCTTCCTGCATGTGGGTTCGAACACGCTACAGTCAGATCATGATAAATGTAAGTCACATCCATAAGGTTCCCGAGTTGAAGTCATTGAACCCCTTTCCTTTACAAGTAACTAAGAACAGTGGTGTCTAAAAATGGTTCTTTTAACCATCTAGACATTTATTTCAAAGTTTGTCTGTTTGCACCAGCACGTTACATCTTTCCATTATTGGTGTAACAGTGCATGAATGTATACAGGTCTCTTGGTTTGACATGCATAAGTATTGAATATAGTGATGATTTAGCTTAATTTATAATGCATAACTGTTGTTTTAGGGCTGTGGTTACACAAATGTCATGTACCCCCCACACACACTTACTCAAACCAACACAACTACCACCACCAATTATGGTTAATACCAAGCAAATGAGATTTAACATGATGTAAAAAGCAGAATACAACATTCTGGCGTCAACAGATAATTAATTTCCTTTGCAATCACGCAAACATGCAGCACCGAACACTCACCCCTCAAATCACAAAAGGGAGGCAATTAAAACTACATCCTCCGATTACAGGAAACAAAAAAGAAATACGAGCGCAGTTTTAGTTGCATGCTTAATTAATTATCTTGAGAAGGTTGATGTGAAGAATCGCAGATAATGATCCGATTATGTGCTCATTAGTTGGTTAAGATTGAAAAAAAAATGGTGAAAAATACCAAAACACAAAGTGTGAGTAGTCCAGATAGAGTAGGTTTAATGATTTGGATGCATTTGGTCAAATTAGTATTTTCTTATTTAATCTGAATTTAAGAAATGCTGCCATGTTTTGACGGTTGGTTTGCTCTTTATATACAATTTGGAACCAAAATTGTTCTTAAAGTGATAGTTCAAACTTTAGAAGGTTGGGTCGTGTGAAATGTTTACGACCAGTTAATATCTTACTTGCTGTAGATAGCTCTTTAGAAAACCTCAGTTTGATAAAAAATAAAAATAAAAAGTCCTATTTAAATACTATTGTCAATTTCCAGACTTTTTCAGACTTTTCAAGATTTACATCGCCACGAGTTTGACTTACACTGATACAGTATTATCATTTAAATTTTATAGTTATTTACGAGAGCTAATAGTGGCAGCCAAAGCTAGCTGAAGCTCTTTTGGAACACCCTTTAGCACCTCCTGCAGAGATATCAGCTCAGTTCTGTCAGAATATTTATGTAATGTTAAGGTTTATAAAACAGTGTTAAAAAGAACTGGTATGGTTTATTTATTTGTTTTAAACTGGAGCTGTTTCAAGATGGCAGCAATCAATTGGCCTTGCTTGGACTAGCCGTTAGCTCATCAGTCAAGTCAGAATAAACCTAATATGATGGTCAAGATTCTCAGTCAACCTAATATTTAATAAAATGGTATTATTATAGTATAGTATAGTATAGTATAACTGTTTATTGAAATGTTAATTTAAAATTTATAATATTATATACTATTATTAGTTAATAAAACTATATCAAACTAATAATACTAGTATAGTATAATATATAATTATAGTATAAATATTTAATAAAAGTAATAAACTAATGTTTTAAAACTGAGTTCATTCAAAAACTTATCTACAGCAAGTAAGATATTGATTGTTCACAACATTCCATATAACCATACTTAAATATTCCTGTAAATTAAAAAGTTAAACCATTCAAAATCCAAATATAAAACTCAAAATAAAACATATTATTTTGAAGACTAATTTAGCGGAATGAAAACTACACATGGAAATAGTAGTGGTGTAACAAAAGTCTTATTTATTTAAAAAAAAAAAAAACTTTGTATTTCACCACTTAATAAAACAAAGTTTCCACGTGTTGCCTTCACCTGCTTTGTGTCTTGATATTTTCCACTTTTAAGTATTTTTCTCCACTGACCTTAACCATGACACTTATGATCGCACAGGGAACAGTGAGCAGAACAATGTTCTCTGTGAACCTGGCGGCCCACAGGGCGCCGCTCTGAACGCCAACGGCTCGCAGCACCTCCTTGAGCCGCAGCTCCTTCTCCAGCACCAGGCTTTTGATGCTCATGCACACGGAGTACATGAAGGCCAGGATCAGGAACATGGGGAGAACCGTTCCAATACTCTGTATGAAGCTGGTTATAGAGGAAAACAATCAGAAAACAAGGGTCAGAAGTGCACGTTAACACAGGTGGGCCAGGACTGCAAGACGGATGTCATCCCCTCCTTTAGTCAACACATTTGAAGCTACAAATATATATAATATATATTTACTATATAATATATATTTATTCTATTAAAATCTGTCCAGTGGTTGATGCAATATTTTGCTAAGAGTCAATGGGTTGACATCAACAGCTAACACTAAAGTTTTAAGCATTGCACTATATGTGGCACTTAAAGTTATTTGTTGTCAATGATTGTCAGCCGTACCCAAAACAAATTCTAGCTCAAAAACTAAAAGACAAACTGAATTTTATGTTTTCTAAATGTATTTGGTTGCAACTGACATCTTAAATTAGGCTGGATTTAAAAATTACTACTTTGTAGATGTCCATCCAATGATGGGGCCATTGAAATCTCTCCAGCAGTTTATGAGATGTTTTGCTAACAGAACTAGTCGAGTCTCAACAGTTAAATGCAAACTTACAAGAAAATCTTGCAAAATCAGTTTGTGCTCAAAGTATGTCATGTGGATCACAGTCAGCTAATACTTTACCAAATTTTGAGTCAATTGACTGAGTCAGTCATATTTGTGCATTTAAAGTTAGTTGGCTGAGGCGGCCATTTTGAATCAGGTTGACTCCACAAATTAAACAGCTGTAGATTTACATCCAATGACTACTTTCTGGAAGTTTCATTACCATTCATCTTGTGGTTCACGAGATATTTTGCTACACACAGACCACCCACAGCCATAAATCCATAAAAGCTGACTTCCCCTGTGTTTACTTGCATTTATTTAGTCAAATAAAGCTAAAGATAAAAGCTCCTGTGCAGAAGCTGAACGTTTTAAATACACCAGAGACCCACAAGACGATCGGCGCTGCATTCATGGATCGGCCGCCTTTGAGGCGTTATCATTTTTACGCTGAGCTAACCTTTATAAAGTTGGTGCATCAGCTCAATCGAGCATTTAGTGCTCCGGCTCATGCCAAAGATGATGTATGATTTGATGCTGTTACAACACAATAAGGCGATATTAAACTGGCTTCATAATGCCACCAAAATGCCATGTCAATATCTCCTCCACTGCCAATATAACAAAGTGCTGCTTTTGATTTATTAGACAGTGAAGGAGACGTTTCAAACGCGTTTTGACAAAGTGTTCGACTACAATGCGTTTCGTTCTATAAGCACCGGAGGAGATAATGCAGGTGGAGCTCTGTTAACGCGGTGAATCTTTACTAATCGCTCACATAAAGCTCGTTTATCCACGTCAGTTTCACGTAACAGTTCACGTAAACAGAAAATTTTAATTGCATTTGCAAGAAATTTGTTGCTTTAATAACCGCGGTCAAGTTGTTATTTTGAAGGCCCCGCTGTATCCTTGCCAAGTGTTCGATCATAAAAACATTTGCTTTTTGTTTAGCTCCACATAATTGGTTTATTTCAGAAGGTGAAATAAACCTTGCATCATTTGGTTTTGTTTCTCTTTCATTTATCTTCAAACAACCCAGTTATTTGACTATAATTATCTTCTGAAGTGTTTACCTACCTTTTTTTTACTGTCTTACAGCTGTAGCCTGGATTTCAGTGCAGAATGTCAAATGAGTTAAAAGACAAATCATTTGAACCTTATTTAAACTCTGCCAACGTCTGTGTGGGTGTGGATTGAATTGCAGGTTTACTTGTGGTTCCTTAAGTTAATAAAATTAAAATTGAAGGCAGAGACTGCACTTATCAAGCATTGATTCACTCTCTGGTCCCAGGAAAAGGCCCCTAAAGTCAAAAGCCAACTAAAACAGATCTCAGTGAACATGAACAGCTTGGCATTCTTTGAGGAAATCCTATCGCCAGCCACCTTTCATGCCAGAGTTTAAATTTAGGTCAACTTATGTTGAGTAATAAAGTTTTAGTCATTTTGGTCAAACCTTATGTCAGTCAGTGTTGCGAAATAAACAATAATTATTGTATTTATACAAGAATTATTGAATGTATATGATAGTTTTAGGGCCTATACCGATGATATACGATAATACTGGTCGTATAGAACAGTGGTCCTCAATTCTCAATCAAGGGCTGCTACCCTGCATGTATTAGAGGCTTCTCTACTTCAACACACCTGATGTGAATAAACGAGGAGGACCAGCTGAAGAGCATGAAAACAAATCGCAAAGGCAGGATGATGGCCCTCGAGGGTCAGGATTGAGGACCACTGGTCTGTACAATATGCAATCGATAGTTTTAGAAAAAACAAATATTTGATAGATTTGGCATTTCTTTGCACCAACATTTTATTTTATGCACACAAACACCCACATAACAACAAACAATTCAGTCACCAGCCAGACTGTGTGAAAGCTAATCATCCCCCCTCCCCCCACACTCACACCCATTCACCAATTACAGTACACTCATCACATACAATACCAGTAGTTTGAATTGAACATGCAATATTTTTAAATTGACTGTACAATAATTCTGGCAACCCTGATGTGAGTGCTCACAATTTATTTTGGGGGTGACTTTCAGCTACTACCACACCAAATTTGAGCTCAAAACCTGTAAAATTGACTGAGTTATGCCCAGTTTAGTTAGTTCCTTCTGTAATGTAATGCCTTAATCTAGATAAACTGTGTTAAGGTCTTAAGTATCAATTATTCTCCATTTTGAACTCTTTATTTAGCAGTGCAAATCAACTTGTAATCAATAATTTAGACTATTTTGCCAACAGAGCAATATATTATTTCGCAGCTTGAATGAAGTTCAGCCACAACCTGAATGTGAGAAAGCCTCACGTTTTCTAGGACACTTCTACAACCCTTGTGGGATGAATCGCCTTTCAAAAAAGGTCTGAAGATGTGTTGATGAAAAGTTCATTCTTAAGGCAACTAAATCCAAAATCCAACACTGGCTTACAAACATAAAATAGTCTCTTTGAAGAGGCTACTAAAAGGACCCACTTCCACAAACGGCTAACTGAAACAGTAGCATTTTTTTCTTGAGAAGTGTGAAGATGTATCCAAAGCTGAATACCCATTTTGGACTTATCTGTTCCTGATTTTGACAAACATTTTCATAGCACAGCCTGTGAGAGTTAACTCCTTCTGGGACTTTCCCCCCCAGAGGCGAAGAGATCAGTCATGCACACCGAGTCTGACACTGACAACCTTGCCACCAAGACTCCGCTGAATTATGCATTTGCTGATCGATCAAAGGTGCTTAAGTAATATAACCTGAGGCGGGTCTGTGTTGCGGGGCTCCAGTTACATCGACAGGCTGACCTAAATTTAGAGAAGCTGGGAGACGGATAAATTGAGAGATAGCAGAGCACTGTCATCTCTGAGGTTGGCGTACCCAAAGAGGGAGAGGGAAGAAAAAAAGATTCCCGTCTCATTTTGGAGCAGATACATCACCCAGCTGACAAGAACTGAGCAATGTACTCAAGGGAACTGACTATTTTTTTTGTGTGAGTTTCATGTTATCGGTGGTATTAGTTATTTTTTAAAAGACAAATATGAAAATGGCTCTTCTTTAAAAAAGTATCACAGACTCAAAGTGCCAAGTGGATTTTAGGCTATATCTTTTAAGTTAGCATTAAATTGCAGTTAAAGTTATTACCATTTTTCACTGCATAAAATAAAATTGTTCAGATATTTTGAAAAATGGGTTTTGTGTAGATGTGAACAGCTATTGTCCTAGTTGTTGTAAACACTTCCTTAAACAACCTCAGTTTGGAGAAAAGAGGTTTATTAGCTAACGGCTACGCTAAGCGGAGCCATAACCAATGTGGATTGCTACCATCTTAAAACAAATCTAACTTTTAAAAAAATCATAGCCATTCATGCAAATGCTAATTTATCTTTTCACTAATTATAATTTTACAAAACATGCTTATTTACATGGCATTGTATTTGCAAGTATTATAAGTAGCAGCAAATACAGCTAGCAGACTTTCCCTAGCTTGCTGATGCTAGCCTCTGGTACTTCCAGCAGCAATGTCATAATATTCCTGCCAGAATAACCATACAAAATAAATGTTGGTGGCAATGCAAATGTTTAAAAATGATCTTTACATGAACTGTTACAAAACTTTTTACATTTAGATGTTTTTTAAGATGGCAGCAGTACACTTTGGTCTTGGCCTAGTCGTTAGCTTATCAGTAAAGTTAGAATTAAATCCTTATTTCCCTAAACTTAGATAAAAAAAAAAAGACTTCCACAACAGTTTAGAGAATAGTTGCTCATAACTTTTCAACATAAACCTCCCCCTAGACATTAGAACTACAATAGTCCCTTGATACTTGGCGGTTTGACTTTTAAAAACTTGTGCTTATGGGTTTTCAACATAGAACTGAACACGACACACTATTGACGATGGGGAACGACAGACGCCGCCACCTCCTTTCTCTTTCTGAGGCTGTCTGTCACAGCAGAGGCGATGAGAGAAGACAGACCCTCCCATCTCCCCTTCTCTTTCTCTGCTGTGACAAACAACTTCAGAAAGAGGAGGGGCAGGGTGGAGTCTGTATTCCCCCATTGCTACTGCCCAGGGAGCAGGGATGAACAGATCAGATGAGCAAATGTAGAATATCGGAGAAAATGCTTAGGTGGAAAAATAAGAGTGAATCAGTTTTAAAAAGAGAGAGAGTGGCTGAGTGCAACTGAGTGCAACTCACTCAGGTATAAGACGGACCCCCTGCCCCGCCCCTCCTTTCTCCTTCTGAGGCTGTCTAGCAGAGCAGACACACAACAGGCGGGTGTGCAACAGACAGCCTCAGAAGATAAAGGAGGGGACAGCGGCGTTTGTCTTATACCTGAGTGAGCTGTTCGAGCTGCATGGATGGTTTATTTAAAATAACCAAGCGTGACCCGAACTGAGCCTGTAGTCCACCTCGGGAATCACTGAGCAGGCCAGGCCACCAGGAAATGTCCCAGTGCTCTCGATGGCCAGCCCACCCATGGGGCTCAG